TTTTTATACTGACAGTCAAAATTGATGAGCTAGTGTTTTTATTTTCTCATTTCATGATGAGTTGGTGCAGAAAAGGTTATGGGTGATTTCTAAAACTAAAGGGTGATTTCTCTATTTCTTTCACATGAACAAGCATAGTATGTTAGTTGATCACATCTTGGTAAATAGCCTTTCATTTCTTGCTTTCTGAAAAAACTTCCAACAAAAATATTTTGCATGCGTTTTGACTATCATCAATAAGATTAAAAAGGAGAATGATTGACATATTTGACAGGCAATGAAAAGATGAATAGAATCTAAATCTGAATCTTAACTGAAACAGAAAAACAAATTTCATCTCATTACTTACTTGGTCAGAAATGAGAATGAAATAGACAGCAGACACCAAATACAAAATGAAAAACAAAGTTACTTGGACCAACATCTAGAAAACAAAATGACATTCTCTGTAATTGCTTTAAATTTCTCTGTGTTGCCATACATAAAGTTTTATGTTACTATAACATTATATACATAAACCTTTTTATCAGTGTTTAACTTCTGGAGACAATAAAAGGGAAAGATTTTGTATTGAATGAAAACTTTGCTAATTCTATTAACCTTGAAATGCTTATAAAACATTATTAAACTATTGACAAAACCAGTGCAATCTGAAAAAATTGCACCTTTAAACTTGAAAAGTCACCTGCCAACAAACCAATACAGCGGCCACGTGTAGGAATATATAGTAGGAAAAGTACATTTATCAATTATCATCAGCACACCTAACTGATATGTGCAGGGTAAATGGTTCCCTGCCCAACTTCAGCTTAGCCCCTGTGTTTGAATTGTGACCTTTGCAGGTGCCAATCTTTGCATTCAAAGTGCACTCTATGAAACATCAGCAGTTTATTGTAGCAATGCCTTTGAGCCTTTGACCGTATCTTGCATTGGTAGAGCTGAGAATCAAACTTTTAAACAGATGTAAGACATTAAATAGATTACCTGCCCCTTAGCTCCAAATGCAACTCTGGCTACATCTTCAATATTTCTTATTTTTCCATGACAATATTTCTTGCTATTTATAACCAAAAATCCACCATGTGTTGATGCGATTAGTACAAAAATCAAAACAAAAGATGACACTATAAATCCTCCTTGTTCAAATGCAAATGGCAGTGATAAGAGTCCACCGCCAATCATAGTTGAAACAAGAGTAAATACAGATGAAAAAATAGTTCCTCTTCTCTCTCCTCCTTCACTGATAGTGCTATGAGCACGGACCAATGGGGTCCTTTCATTTAATGGCTCATCATCTGAGACAAAGCTATCATTTGAATCTATTGATGATGTGATTGAAGACTCTCCAGAAGCAGGCAAAATGCTGAAAAGAAATGACAAAAAAAGCTACACATATTACAAACATTGTTTTCATAGTTCACCAGTAAATCTTCAGACGTAAAATTAAAATGTGTTCTTTTACAATGAAATTATGTGATGATGGTAAAAGGAAAACTTGTTTTCAATTGAGTGTGGTGGTTTTTAGATGAGTTGGTCAATTTTCAAGTTTTGTACCATAATGTATGTTTTTCCTTCTAAATGAACACATTCAAAACTACTATATTTTTTTAAAAGAAACAAAGGTCAATGTTGAGTACTCCAGTTTCTTAATGGTCTGGAAATTTCAATACTCATTTTTTCTTAAGAGTTTCTTATTTATGATGTCATGAATGATGTTATGAAATGTTTGTGACCTTTTTTATCACGTCAAGCGATTCACTTTCATTCTGATGCTGTATTTAAATGTGGGAAGTATATTTTTATCCCTTGTGTCTTAAGTTCTAGGCCAACAGGGCAATCTTGTTCTTGGATTTTACAAAATTTCGTTGTTCTCAGTTTTATCACGATTTAATAGTTTCTTAATTTTTTTGCTTCAAGTACTGAAGTTTCTTAATTTTTTCTGACTGTCTAGTACTCGTTTCTTTTAGCCAGTTTCTTATAAAAAAATGAGTGTAATCTTGAACAACATGTTAAAATGATTAGCACATATATCATAAAAGTTACATAGATGCATGTAATCAATGTGTAGCTAAATTCTTACCTTCCATTATAATCTGGTGCCATTAAATCTGCCGGAATTGGGGAATTTATTGACATCATTTTTTCTACTTCAACCTCAAAACAGCCCGATCAGTGATCAATGAACTATAAATAAAATTGGATCCTAAAGTTCATATTATATAAAAAAATTTCCAGTAATTTTTTACAGAACCTAGAAATCATACGGTTAGATAAGCAAGGGACTGAAGTGTTATATCAACAAAAGAAACAACCGAATCCTTGTGAAGGCGATCAAACATTAACAGTGGATCATTGCAAAATTTGCTGGGCGAAAACTCTACAGCTGAGCAACAAAAAGCTGTAACACATCAATAACATTTTGTATACAGGGGAACGTCAAAGTTCACTCAAATCAATGACTCGGAAAGGCAGAAAAGTGACTGTCGAACGACATTACTTAGGCCATCATCAAATTGAGCACTGAATCGTGCTTCTCTTGAAAACGTTAAAAAAGTGATGAATCAAATAAGAAGTTATATGCTTAATCACAATCTTGCCTTAACTTTCAACTGTCACCTCATTCTTGCTTTCTTTTTCTTGAAGAAAAATTGCTTTCAATTTTCTTGTCATCATGTGATCAACCAACAAACATTTTCTTTTCGAGCCCTCATACCCCTGTTAAAGCTCCTCCGCATCAAATAATTCAAAGCGCAGATTCTGGCTGCGAACAGCCCTGAAGAGATTCCAAATTCATTTTACCAAAAATATATCTTATAGTCAGGGCTGTTAGCCTCAGATTTTGAGAGAGTTATGCAAAATCGCATACCAGCATGAAACTTCGTCCACAAGGGTAGTTTTGGGCGCTGAACAAGATAAGATGCAGACCCCAGCTGAGAAATGCCCCAAAATGCTATTTTTAGACTGTTGTACTTGGTCCCAGGCCCCAAAAGCGTTAATTGTAAAAATACTGCCGCTAGTTGTGATAACAACATGAAAGTTAGAAAAAAAAGGCAGTTTGATATGCTCGAAAAGATAGGATGCAGACCCCAGCTGAGAAATGCCCCCAAATGCTATTTTTAGACTGTTGTACTTGGTCCCAGGCCCAAAAGCGTTAATTGTAAAAATACTGCCGCTAGTTGTGATAAAAACATGAAAGTTAGAAGAAATGGGCAGTTTGATATGCTCGAAAAGATAGGATGCAGACCCCAGCTGAGAAATGCCCCCAAATGCTATTTTTAGACTGTTGTACTTGGTCCCAGGCCCCAAAAGCGTTAATTGTAAAAATACTGCCGCTAGTTGTGATAAAAACATGAAAGTTAGAAGAAATGGGCAGTTTGATATGCTCGAAAAGATAGGATGCAGACCCCAGCTGAGAAATGCCCCCAAATGCTATTTTTAGACTGTTGTACTTGGTCCCAGGTCCCAAAAGCGTTTACTCTAATATTGTTGCTGCTAGTTGTGATACCAGCATGAAATTTAAAAGAAATGGGCAGTTTGATATGCTCGAAAAGATAGGATGCAGACCCCAGCTGAGAACTGCCCCTTTGTGCCATTTTTAGACCGCTGTCCTAGGTCCAAGTCCGTGGAAGTGGTTATCCTTATTACTTTGATAAACTCTTTTATTTTGGTTTTCGAAGGAAATTTACATAGGGAATTAAGAATCTTTTTTCATTCTCCTGCAGAATATTGATAAAGGTTTTGTGCAGTCTAGCTTAAATATTTAAAAAAGTATTCTAACAGAATTTTAGTGGAAGAAATCTGATACCTTCCTTTTCAAACCCAGTAAACGAACCGGATGTTGTAATGGTTTCATTCCATTTTCTTCAAAAGTTTACTTTCGGTCGTGCGCTATTAAAGTCAGTTGACAGGAGCTATTGTCTCGTTTAATAATAGCCGTCGATGAATGTGTCGACTTTCGCAATCACAAAATACACGTGGTAAGAGTTCAGGTGAAATATCTGCTGGTGCCATCGAAATTGCAAACAATTCATATACGTTTTTTTGAGAAATAAGACAATGATACGTGGAAATGTCTAAGAAAATATTTCAACTGGTTAACCCCCATAGCGAGTTGACCAGACCTAGTTCAATGAGCAAAGAAACACTGGAGACAAATTGGGAAAGTTGTTTTTTTTGCCAAGAAACGACATCAGAGGTACTAGAATGTCCAGCAAGGAAAAGCACTCACTTAGATAAAGGTTCAGGATACAAAAGCATTGCAGAACAGCTTAAAAGGTTTCAGGGTATTGGTGAGCTTCCTTCTTTCCTTGATACAAGGACAGGCTTAACAAGCAACGAGGTATTAGCTGGCAATCTCTTGCAAAATGAGGCTAAATTTCATAAGCGTTGCAAAAACAAATATGACGACTACCATTACCAAAGGGTATGTAGGAAAAGAAAGAAACAAACAGCTGATGTTGAAATCGCCCAGGCCCCACCTAGCACACGCCAAAGGTACAGCGCAGATAATTTCAAAGTTAGGTGTTTTTTTTGTGAAAAGGATGATTTGGAAGTGAATTTGACAAACGCTCAAACACTTGGCCTGGACAAGAATGTTCGTGACGCGGCAAAAGAGCTCTTCGATGAAAAACTCTTAGCCAAGTTAAGCGAAGGTGACATGGTAGCAGTTGAGGCCCGATATCACAAGCAATGCCTTGCCGCTCTTTACAACCGTCTGAAAAGCTTTCATCGAACAAAATCTGTTCACGAAACAGAGGACGCTATTAGAAAAGGGGTAGTATTGGCTGAGATTATTGATTATCTTAGGGACATGGTAGAATCTTCCAATAATATTTCCGTATTCAAGTTAAGCTGTATCAAAAAGCTCTTTTGCGATCGTCTTGTGGCGTATGGTGCTACTGCAGAAAGTGTAAAGAATGTGCACAGTACTCGTTTGAAGAATGACATCTTACATCACATCCCAGAGCTCGAGGAAGAAAAGCAAGGAAACAATGTTCTCCTAACACCCAAGGAAGAAACAGGTACCGCGATTTATCAGGCATGTCTAGAGAATGACCAGGATGATGGAATTTGCCTTTCTAAAGCTGCCAATATCATTAGGAAACATGTATTTTTGCATAAGATTGAGGACCCTGCCCAATTTCTTGCATCTCAAAAAGCTTCAGTACCCCCATCTCTTGTCACTTTCATCAGTATGCTCATTAGCGGAACATGCATAACTGATTCATTACCTACATCAGCACATAAGGCTTCACTCACAATAGCCCAATTAGTGAAGTTCAATATGGTGAAAGGTAAGCGGTCAAATACCACTAATGAAATAGCCCGCCATAGCAAAGAGCAAGAAACGCCGTTTCCACTTTACCTTGGGTTGATGATTCATTCTAAAACAAGAAAGAAAGGACTCGTTGGCCGCCTCGCAAAATATGGAATGTGCGTCTCCTACGATCGGGTACAGCATGTCCAAACCTCAATTGCAAAGAAAGTTTGCCAGCAATACCAGCAGCAAGGCATTGTTTCTCCACCGTGTCTGAAGGAAGGACTATTCACCACTGCTGCAATTGATAACATCGATCACAACCCTTCATCTGTCACAGCAGCCAACTCATTCCATGGCACCAGTATTTCGATCTTCCAGCACCCCGATTCAGAGATTCAGATGCATTTACCAGGTTTGCGAGAAAACGATCAATCTTCTAATGTAGAGCTAAAGCTTCCAGAAAGTTACACTTCACTTCCTTCAACCAAAAGTTTTGCAGCCGAATTTCCTTTGCAGTCAGTGAATCCTGATAGTGTCCTCACTAAACAGGCAACGGATGAATCTTTAGAATGGCTTTCAAATTTAAAGTCACTCAACGAAGGAAACAGCACTTTCGATATAAAAAATCGTTTATCATGGTCTGGATTTCATGCACACAGAGTCCGCGACACTCCAGTAAGGTCACTTTCAACACTACTTCCATTACTGAAAGATTCGGTAAATTCTTCTGCAATGGTACGTCATACGATGGACATTATCAAGAGCATTTTGCTAGGGTTAAATTCCAATCAAGCACCTGTTATTACTGCTGATCAACCAGTGTATGCTTTGGGAAAACAAGTTCAATGGATGTACCCAGCAATTTACGGGGAAGATAATTTGCTGATGATGCTTGGCACATTGCATATTGAGATGGCTTTTTTAGATGCTATAGGTGACTGGCTAGAAGGAAGTGGCTGGACAGAAATTTTAGTAAAAGCGCAGATCAATTCACCCGGCCGTGCAGAGTCATTTCTATCAGGGAGGCAAGTAAAGCGAGCAAGATACACACATCAAGTTTCTTGTGCAGGCCTGTATTTGCTACTCCAAATGGCCCATCTTCGAAGTAATTCCGGTCATTCATTAGAAAGCTGGACATCTAAACGCCTTGAAGAATCAGTCCAATTCAAGTATTGGCACAAAGTAATAGAATTGGAGTCAATTCTGCTTCTTTTGATTTATAGTGTTCGAGTATCGAACTTTGATATGTTTGTGAGTGCTCTTGAGCAGATTGCACCATGGATGTTCTCATTAGACCACACTCATTACGCACGATGGCTACCCATATTCATCAATGATCTCAAGCAATTGAAAGAAAAGCATCCCCGGATCTATGAAGAGTTCAAGAAAGGCCATTTCACATCAAAGAAGACCAAGAGAAAATTTTCTAGTATGCCCGAAGACCAGGCCCATGAGCAGAATAATAAGACTGTAAAGATTGATGGTGGAGCAATAGGCATTCTAGACAACGCAACTGCATTGATCAAGTGGATGATTGCAGGTCCTGAGATTGCAAGGTTACTTGAATTATTTGAAGATGCAACGGAAAAAGAGGATAAAAACCTCAGCCATCATGAAGACACTGATGCACATGAAAAGCGCTTTCGTCAAGATGTCATTTCATTCAAAAACATTTTTGAAGAGCTTGGCAATCCTTTTGAAGAGAATGATATACTTCTCAATTCTGTGTCTAGAAACATAATGAATGAAAGGGCTGCTGAATCAGTCCGGTTAGCCTCAGTTATTGGAGAGAACCAATACCAGCAATATGTGTCTGAAAGGCTTGTGAGGTGTAAAGTTTCCATCTATTCAGCGATCTCAAGAAACAAGCTCTCCTTGTTCAGGCAGAGAAATTCAATCACCAGTTCAAAGTCAAAGCTTCAAGCTATTTCATTAAAACAAGATCGCAAGCTATTTGCATCATTCTATGTTGCCTGCCAGTCGAGAGAAGGCGATCTTGGGAAGTTTTTCTCGCATGAAAATCATGCCTATCCTCCATCATTATCGGAATACGGCAAGCTAAGGAAAGGGAACAAAGCAGACGTTCTTAAAATCCTCGAAACATATGGCGACGCAAGATACGAGTGCCCAAAAACTACAGCCACAGTGATTGATGGTGCAGCATTGGTTCAAATGACTCTGCCAGGGGATGTTCAAACATTCGGAGAGTATTGTTCGAAGATATTTGTACCAAAGGTTCTCCAAGAGCTACTAGCGGATAGTCGCCGACGAGTAGACGTCGTTTTCGATCGGTACTTGCCAAAAAGTCTCAAATTTGAAGCAAGGAAACAGAGGGGAGATGGTATACGGATATCTGTTCGTGAATCAACACCTATTTGCAAACACTGGCGTCAGTTTCTTCGAGTTGATATGAACAAAGAGGAGCTATTTACGATGCTGGCAAGAGAGCTTGGAAAGCAAAATACAAATGAAAACACCATTATTGCAACATCTCTTGAAAACGTAATCTGCAATAATTTTTTGGTCAACTTAGCATCTCTTGCACCATGCAACCACGAAGAAGCCGATACCAGGATTTTTCTTCACACTCTACACGCTGCTAGATCAGGCCATCTCAAGATTTGCATACGAACAGTTGATACTGATGTTGTAGTCATAGCCCTGTCAATGTTCGACAAATTGCAAATTCAAGAGCTTTGGATAGAGTTTGGCGCTGGTATTCACAAACGTTGGCTTCCAGTTCACGAGTATGCTGTTAACCTTGGAACTCAAGTTTGTGCTGCAATTCGTTTTTGGTATGCATTTACAGGCTGCGACACAGTGTCCTCGTTTGGTGGCCGAGGGAAGAAAATGGCATGGGATACATGGAAAGCATATCCAGATGCAACAAACGTCTTCTTGAGGTATTTGCTATTTCAAATAAGCTTTGCTTAATATTCTTCACAACTCTGCAATATTCGATTGGCGGATAATTAAATTTATCGAGTTCTGAAAACCTTATAGAAGTCGAAGGATTTTATACATATTCCTTCTTATTTATCTTTCCTGCAGTGTGCAGAATCACCTCACAGGAATTATTTTTTATTCTAGATTGCTTTGTTAAATGAGAAAAGCTATCTTCTTATAACTTTTTTACTTTGATGCTCATCCCCATTGGTATGAAAACGTGGGCATTTCAGTAGCTTTCATTATAATTCATTTGATGCTGTTCGTTTTCGACGTCTTTGTCAATAAAATACCTAGAAGCTAACTTTTCGTCCAGGTTATCAGAGTTTGAAAGGCACCAACTGGACGAAGACGATCTGAAACTGCTTGAACGCTATGTAGTTCTGCTATACGACAGATCAAGCTCGCTACACAGCGTAGACGCGTGTCGAAGAGCACTATTCACCTCAAAAGGACGCGATATCGAAAGTATTCCACCCACAAGAGATGCACTGGCTCAACATTCAAGAAGAGCTATACTGCAAGGCGGGTAAATAATTTCACTCAATGTTTTTTGAATAGCCGAATTATGCCGCCGTGTAATAAACTTTCGATAACAGCAGCACAAAATGTCGTAACTGCATGTCTAAAACACGAAAGTTCGAGGACATTCTCGTTATCTAGTCTTGAATTATGCTCGTTAGCAAGAACCGAATTATGTTTTTTTAAATATTCTGAAACGCATTTAATTTCTTTTCTGTATGGTTTTCACAAATCAAAGACCCTGAAAAAATTGCGAATATCCTGCCGAACGCTCGCAGAATTGAAGGGATTCTGAAAATGCATTTGGATAACATCAACAGAGATTTTCTTCATTCATAATTTTGCCTGTGAATAATGTTAAAACCATATGTTTGTCGTAGCATAATCTGGCGACAGTCACTTCAGAGATGGCAAGAAATACCAGATGTTAATGACTGGGGATGGAAGAAAAACGAAAATGAGATATCACCAAAGTGGATGTTGAATGCAGAAGCCTCGCAAGCATGCTATGAACTTGTTAAATGCAGCTGTAAGAGGAATTGCTCTTCAAGATGCAAATGCAAACAATATAATCTTGAATGTACTGAGCTCTGCAAATGTTTAGGACAATGCTCGGATGCCAATGAATAAGGACAACAAATGTATATCTTTGTTACCCTTGTGCATGTTTAAGTTGTTATTGTCTTATGCCTGAACGGGATATCAAATAGCCATTCCAAAAATTGCTTTTTGAGGCATTTTATATGTGGGATGGGCATGTCTCTTCAGCAGTGCAAACTGTCATTTCTACCAAATTTCATGCTGGTATCACAACTAGCAGCAACAATATTAGAGTGAACACTTATGGGGCTTGGGACCTAGTACAACAGTCTAAAAATAGCATTTGGGGGCATTTCTCAGCTGGGGTCTGCATCCTATCTTTTTGAGCATATCAAACTGCCCATTTCTTCTAACTTTCATGTTTTTATCACAACTAGCAGCAACAATATTAGAGTAAACGCTTTTGGGGCCTGGGACCAAGTACAACAGTCTAAAAATAGCATTTGGGGGCATTTCTCAGCTGGGGTCTGCATCCTATCTTTTCGAGCATATCAAACTGCCCATTTCTTCTAACTTTCATGTTTTTATCACAACTAGCGGCAGTATTTTTACAATTAACGCTTTTGGGACCTGGGACCAAGTACAACAGTCTAAAAATAGCATTTGGGGGCATTTCTCAGCTGGGGTCTGCATCCTATCTTTTCGAGCATATCAAACTGCCCATTTCTTCTAACTTTCATGTTTTTATCACAACTAGCGGCAGTATTTTTACAATTAACGCTTTTGGGGCCTGGGACCAAGTACAACAGTCTAAAAATAGCATTTGGGGGCATTTCTCAGCTGGGGTCTGCATCTTATCTTGTTCAGCGCCCAAAACTACCTTTGTGGACGAAGTTTCATGCTGGTATGCGATTTTGCACAACATTTTGGCTAACAGCCCTGACTATCATGCAAATGCCCAGCTGTAGAAGGGGCGGGTGAGCGTGCAGGACTATCGGTAGGCACATCTGAAATATTTTGTTGCCTATTTGGCGCTACAGACACAGTGGCCGTCGCAAGTAATTTTCGTTTTCTGGGAGGTTCTTCAAACTCGTCACAATCAGAGTCAAAATCTGAGTCTCAGGGCCTGTGATCTCTACGACGTTTAGGATAGTTTTTGACAAACTTGGCAAGTAATTGATTGGATGAGACGATTGTGTCGTTCATTTTCTGTAGAACAAAAAGTAGATCAGTATTAAGGGGTTGATCAGAAGTGCACCTTGAATGTTCTGGCATAACAGGCCTAGATAAAATGGTCTCGGAAATGGAAGCTTGACTAGCTGCCAACTCCCGTATTTTTCGCTGTTTTCAGCAGACATCTATAAGATGATGCAAATGATGATGAAGAGGAATGAAATACTTATCTGGCTAAGATAAACCAAACAGTTGAGCAGATTAAATTCCAGAAAGTTTGTCGGAAAACGTAGGCTCTGCAAAAACTCGTTAAAGCAACCACAGATTGTAATTACACACAGATGGCAACACAAGCATTTGCACACAACTGGTTCACATGCACTGCATCACAGTATCTCGTGCAGCTCTGTAGGGAGCTGGGACCGATGACGAAATAGAATTAAAACTGGCTGGCTTAAACAACAACTTACAATATGCTTGAACACAACAATTGTTTTTGTAACTGATTTGAATAACAAAAAGGTGTCAAAAATACCCCAGAGTAATGTGACACATCTTGCCTTTGAGTAGGTGGTATGTTCTTAATTATTAATTTGTCCATTACAAAATAAGCAATTTTTCCCTGCCGAAGAGCTTCAATTAACTGAGCAATTTTATCAGCACTCCATTCAAAAGTTCTTGGGGAGAAATCATTTGGAAACTTCAATCCAACTGGTTTGATGGTTGTTCCTTCTTTAAGGATCTTTTCTTTCCCCTTCCATTTACATAATTTGACAACAACATTCCTGGGGCTGTTGGTATCTCTTGTATCTGATCCAAATTGTCGTTTTTATAGCTTTTTTTGACAATAGATAAGCATCTAACCAACGCAATCAAAGTCACCCCAGTTGATGCTGTTTTACTTCTTCAAAATTATGGAGTCAATTAACACAAACAATATTGCATCTGAACAGAGAATAAGAAAAATAAAACTCAACAGAAAATTTAAAATATTGAGATAATTTCGAACATGTGCATAATTCTGAAAACTAATTTCTTCATTGCTGTTGCACGGGTTCAATTCGTTGCTTCTTTGAATGGGTAAACTGGATTCATCTCTGCTTCACAGTAAAACACGCATTTTTGGAACACCTCACATCATTAAAGATGCAACTGATATCAGAACACTTGATAAAATACAGGTTACTGGATAGTATGATAATATAGGGTACCTTAGTAATTGCTCAACTTGTCTGGGGACCTGAAAAAGATAACGTTCTTCGTGTCTTAAAAACAAAATAATTGTTATGTTAGCTTGCATGGAACCATCTCACTGAACAAAATGATGGGGTAGGCTGGCTTAAAAATAGTCTGCAGTGTCTTCAAGAAGAAGCATACAATGGCAGATTGAACTCTGTTTCAATGAAGAAAGTTTGAAACCGTCTGATAGGTGTGGACAAGGACACTTTCTGGGTTGGGCTGGAATTCACAGTTAGAGTAGCCTGAACTTCACATGTTTTGGTCAAATGGTAATGTTGGTACAAAAGAAGAAAATTTATAACAAAAATTCCTAAAACATTAGAATAACTGCTGTGTGACATCACGCAATTTGTGTCAAAATACTGACACAAATTGTAACCATCCAGCTCCTAGCACATATCTGATATCTCAGCCTAAGTATTTTAAAAATTTCTTTTTACAACTACAGATATATTTTTTTCAAATGTTGTAAAAAATTGGTGTAATCAGGATATATTCCTCTTATGATCCGCCTAAAACATGTGTCACAAAATTGAACATAAGCATAAAAATAATATTCGAGGAAAACGCAATAAAAAAGTCAGTCATGTCAATTTTCGAAAAATATACTGACAAGATGCATTAAAACTTCCAGAGGCATACGTAAGTCCTTCAGTTTGCTGCATTCTGTCATCTGCAGCTTTTGCATGAGTCCTTCTCGACTTTTTGATTTTTTATTACTTTTTTGTTGCACTGGCATTGCTCTCTTTTATTCTTTTTCTGTGAAGCTTTTGTATGTGTATCTTTTTCTGTGAAGCTTTTGTATATATGGGCAGTATGGCGTCCAGGCTCAATTACAAGCTCTTCAAGGACACCACACATGGCCATATTTCCACTATAAAATACAATTACAACAGCAGCACAGTCAAGATGGACTTTTCCAGAGGCCATAGTCTTTGGACATCTTGCCCAAATCAAATGATTTAATGGCTCGCAGCTGTTTTGGGTGTAACCTCCAAAGCAACCTTCAAGTACTGAATCTTTAGAAAGCCGTTTGTAAATTGGCTTCAAAACTCCCATCACTGCTTTGGGAAGAGGCTTTGAATTATGGTAAGATTCAGACTTGAGAGCTGCCTTGTTAAATTTGCACCATGTATGTGGCCCTTCAGGGCAATATTGTTGCTGGGGCTTGTCATTTGTCGAAGCAGAATGATAAAGTCCTGCCCAAACTTCCTTTTTCATCGCCTCCAAATCATTCCTGCGACGGTATCGGGAATCCACCATTTTGCATAAACCACATATATTTTAACAGTTAGTTCATTGATTTTGTCGGGTTCTTTGTTAGTCATTCAAATATTCTCTCCTTGTTGTTTTAGAGTAGCATGCATGTGCATCAAAAACTCACTTTAAGCTGAATCTGTCTGAGGTTTGAGGAAATAGTTATACCGCACCCGCCGATTAGGTTATTAGACTTATCCAGAATAAACACCTATCTAACCTATATGCAAATTGATTGGTAGTTATAATTAAAAGTTTGTGACTCAAAACTAATTAGCAGCGCAAGTAAACATATATATTCCACAAATTAGAAAAAGGAAGAGTTTTTGACGCAGGAGTTGCCTAAGTGTTGTAATGGTTTGAGATTTTGGAAAAAATTGAGATGTAAAGCAAATAGTTGTAATTGCTTGGTTTTATGTTTCTGCTCTTGGGTTCTCTTTGGGAGCAATTTTGAAAAATCCAAAAAGGAAAGAACGTCCAGGCAACAGACAGCAACTATTTTGGTTCACAGAGAAGAAATTCTGAGAAGAGGTTCAGATGGTGATGAATGGGGGAAATTGGAGGAGAAATGAGTAAAATTAAAGAAGCTTGAGGATGAAATTTTCGACACTTTGCTTGAAGATGCAGAGTATGACGAAATTAACAAGGAGAAAGACGAGACTAACGAGTATTGGGAAAAGATTGGATGCACTATTCTAGCCATCAATAAAGCGACAGAAGATGAAACCAGAAACCTGGTCGAGATCGAATTCAGTGGAGAGTCTAAATTGAACGACATTCACCTCCGGGGGAGACAAGAAACTACAGGAAAAACTTCCAAAGTTCAATCTACGATCCTTTTCTGGTCGGATTCATGAATGGCAAGAGTTTTTGGAGGCTTTTAACAGTGGGATCCATCAGAATGGTAACCTCGCTAATGTTGACAAGCTGAATTATTTGAAAGGGTATTTTGAGGAAAGGGCTAGGACTGTAATTGCTGAAATTCAGACAATGGGTGCCTCGTATGAAATCGCTGTTGATTTGCTTAGTAAATGCAACTCGAGTAAAAAGAGACACCACTACATGGGCTGGAGACTCTTGGAGTTGATGTGGCGACATACTCTGGCTTCATAGTTCCTGTACTGATGGACCACATTCCGGAGACAATACGGTTGAGCATGATTTGATTTCACAGTAAGGACCAACTGGAATGGACATTGAAGGACTTCCTGGATGGGTTCAAAAAGGAAATTGGAGTGAGCTAAAGCCACATGCCGCTGAAAGCTTCTGGTGTTGGCGCTTATGGGATCGGAAATTCTGGTGCAGACAGAACGCCGAGAAGTAGGCCAACCGCAGAGAAAAAAAATGATGGCTTTAGCACAGCAAATGCATTGCTGACGAAAAATTCCGCAGTGTGTTATCTGCCTCAATAAACACGAACATGCCGATTGCAGAACCGTAAGAAACATTGCTGAAGGTAAGAATGTTCTTAGAAAATATTGTCGAAAATTAGAAAAAATGTTTTATTTGTTTAATGCAAGGTCATAGGGCATTTGAATGTAAATCAGGTGTATCCTGTAGGAATTGTAGGGGTAGTCATCATATTTCATTATGTGGTAGACCTAGGCATGAATCTTTGAATGTAGGATCTAGCAAGGAACCCATTCCTAACGTAAGGTCTGCAACACTTAACCGGCAGGCGACAATTTGGGTAGGAAGTTCCAACAGTGGCGAAAGAGTTTCATTGCAAACAGCGCTAGCAAAGATAAATGGAGATAGAGAGGGTACAGTGAGGTACAGAGAGTTCTTTTCAATGCCGGTTCTCATCAGTCATTTGTTACTTCTAAGACTGTATCTAACTTAGGTTTAAGATCCCTTAAGAAAGAGAAGTTATCTAAAGGTATCAGGAGTTGTAGAGTTAAATGCTATGTTGTAGATGATATTGCAACAATCCCAAATGAAAGGATTGATATTGTTAAGAAGAATTGCAATCATTTGAAGCAGATTTATTTTTCAGATGCCACAAGGCATGGTGACTTATTACAGGTTTATATATTGATAAGTGCAAATTTTCTTTCGGAATTAATAAATGGGCAGATGAAACGAGGGGGCCACATCAGCCACTGCATGGTTGGGTGCTTTCAGGGAAACTAAGAAAACTAGAAGGGATCCATTAATTTTGCTAGAATATGATAAGATTATTAGAGACCAAGAAACATGGGTATAATAGAAAGAGTATCGGCATTAACAAATGTTGGCAGTTATCATTATTTAGCACATCAGGCAGTTGTAAGGGACAATGCCGAGACCACAACGGGGGCATTGTTTTTTATGCATCTTGTAAGGCTAGCAAGTTAAGTAATTGTCTTAATAATTGTCTTCATGTAGGCCCACCTATAACACCTCTTATTATTTAACTGCTTTTAATTTCTTTTAATTAGAGAGTATAACGTTGCACACATAGAAGAAATTGGAAAGCATTTTTGAATATCGCAATTGATCTATCTGATGGAGATTATTTACGTTTTGTAATACGTAACGATGATAATGATAATGTTTGGTTACGTTACGTTACGTTACGTTGATAATGTTTCAGCAGAACAGCCCAGAATTGTAATTTATTGTTTTAACAGAGTTGTTTTTGGTGTGAATTCTTCACCATTTATTTTTAAATGCAGTTTTACGTCATCATATTGAAACAATTAAGGAAGCAGATCCAGAATTTGTAAGCAAATTAGTAGAAGGAATCTATGTAGATGACCAATACATTGAATCGAAACTAGAGAAACGGAAGAAAATAAAATACAAAAATATCGGCCTACTGTTTGTTCTATAATCTTCTATCGAAGCTTGTGGTGATTTACCTCAGTGACGAAAAAATGCAATGGGAAAACGACAGAAAAGCAGTAAAAAGCCTAGAAAGACAATGTTATATTTTAAAAAGGGTAAATTTTGCTGGTATATCTTCTAAAACTGCGATTAAACTCTGAATATGCACAAAGAAAACGTGCGATAGTATTGTTTACGTATAGGCCGCTGGATCTCAGGCTCTCCAGTATGGCGTTTCTATGCAGTAACAAAGCATGTGATGCCTAGTTCTGTCAAATTGGTAAAGTGCATTGGAATTTCAAAAGTGAGAAAGATTTCACTAACATGCAATCATCTTGCTTTGACTAGTGCTAAGAAAACAGAAGCTGAGTGGCCTCATTTTTGTCTTAACCTGGAACCACCACCAAAAAGCCTTCCTCCTTGCGAACTGCATGAATGTGATATTGAAACAGATATTATTGCTAACAGACGTGCCCAAGAAAAACCACAGGCCATTTCCTACAGCACCAGAAAACGAAGAGAAGAGACTGCATGGGAAAATTCTGGAGAAAAATTGTAAGAAGCTTTCGTGTCACAGCAGTTTCTGCCTAACAGCAGAATTTCTGCTGCATGTGAAGATTTTGGAAACGACTGCCAAACATGGCTGTATGCCACTGCAAAGATTGTGGCTGGAAGCAGGATTTTTGCCTAAGTTGTGCCACATCAATTCATACTGACCGCAACCTTTTTCATGTATATATGGAAGGTGACCTTTGCATTTCTTGTTTTCATATTTTTGCATTCTTTAGTATCTACCCATATGATTAGGAAATGTAGCAATTGCACCTGTACATTAAAGCATATATTTATTTAAAATACATGACTGAATCACATTTCAAATCATCACTTATTCAAGCAGTTAAAACAGAACAAATCTAAAGTACTTTACTGAATGTTCGATGTTTTCACAAAAAGTTGTTTAAGATTTTGTATCACAATGTTTTAAGTTTACTGGTATACATATGATACTGATTGCATTTTTTTCATACTTACAGGATGGTGCATTCATCCCCCTGTTTCCCAACACAAAAAAATTTAAGTCAAGACAACACCAGGTGGCACCAGTATGACATCAGAGAAATTATATTCTTAGACTTGCAATGTACTAATTAATAAGATTTGCTAAAGACAGAGATAGTATAATAGGTTTCATAGACACTTGTTATATTATAATAAAGTACATTAATTTTTAGAGAGACTCTCAAAACAGTGCCATGACGTCTCCATGCAAAGAAGTTTGGAATCGGCAAACATCAATAAATTTAGCAAGAATTGTTACTTTTAGATTAAGTTACTTTTAAATTGTAGTTAAATTTGGTTGAGCTGTTGAGCGGATGAAAATAGCTATTTTTGCTAAAGTATTTTGAGTCATGTATCAGTGAGTTGAAATGAAAAAACTGTCATAAAATAGCAATCTTTTTCTTATAAATGATTAATCAATTAAAAATGTATGCTTGTGTGAGTGCAAAATTATATGGAATGTATTACTTATGCACCATTTTTATTAAAAGTTTTGAATGTAACATTATTATTTTGTTTACAGGCGGACAGCATATTAAAAAAGTACAGTTTTGCTCATGTCAGTCAGATGCAAAGGCTCTAGTGTCCATGGGATTCTGGCATGGGATAATAGGAAGACCAAGATTTGCTTTTGATTTGCAACTTATGAATCTCTTCACTCAACTCTTTTTTGAATGCCATTGCTCGCTTGATAAGCTTTGTGCAATGATCTCCTTGTGGAGACATCCTTTGCTACCAGTAAGAAGAATTATTACCAGCAGTACTTTGATGAAAACAAAAGCAATATGAAAATGTTGTGGAAAGGTATTAGAGATATAAATAGTTTCAAACGAAAAAATACTGATACATTCTCATATTTAGTTGATGAAAATGGCTTAAAAATATCTGATTCTGTCCATATTGCAAATGAATGTAATGAATACTTTACAAAGGTAACTGAAGGAATCAATTAAAAAATCCCAAGAACTCAAAAATCTCCTTTATCTTTCTTATCAAATTCAAACTCTAATTCTTTTTTCATCTCTTCATGTACAGTTAACAAGGTATGTAATGTAATACAATTACTAAAAAATGGCAAGTCCCCTGGACCAAATTGCTCTGATCTCGCAGCTCTAATAAACGAGTCCTTCACAACTGGCAATTTTCCTGAAAAACAAAAAATTCCGAAGGTAATCCAATATTTAAGAAAGGTCTAAAGACCGAAACTTGTAACTACAGACCAATTTCGTTGCTTTGCATTCCTAGTAAAATATTTCTCTTTTTCTTATGTGCAGCTGTAGGCAAAATGAACGCATCAAAGTCACTTGTGTTTAAAGGATCTCTTTGGTAACTGAAATTAAACGCCTTGACTTGTTTGGAAAGAAACCTAGGTTTAGCATATGAAATAAATTCGAATTCTGCTGAAAAGCATTTGATTGTTTGACAATTTTCATTCCAGGGTAACGGTAGAGTAAGTGAAAAAGAGGGATGGATTTGGAAGCTATGGACTATCAGTGCCTCTAGCGATTTAAAAATGCAGCAAATGACGTTAGTAAAAGGTTCTGCAAATGACATTAGTCATAGGTTCTTTCGAAGGTATCCAATGTGTAGCTGGGTGCGGTGGTAACTAGCTACAATGTGCACTGGAAGTTTTGAGGCAAAATAATGTCCACCCCTCTGTATTTTGCTCAGCTCCCACCACCAACGTTGGCAAGTAAAACTCTGTAGATGATAGAGAGACAGAAATGATGGCTGCTGTTGGGAGGTATTTTCATTCAATTATCAAATACCCCCAAGCAGAGCAAAAGGAGCTGTCACAATGTGAACACTGTTCCAGTTAACTTTAAACTTTAAGAGAACTTTAAAAATCTAAATTCACGGCTCACCCCTCGTATTAATGGTTAATCCTACAGTTAGCCCCACGGTTAACCCTCTTTAGAATGACAAGCCATGGCTACAGAATGAGGGTTAGCCCCTCTCAGAATTGAACATATATTAAGTTTTTTTCAAGTTAAAGGGTTAAGGAAGGTTGACCGTTGATTCGTGTTTTAAAAGCTTTGTTTATATTATTAACCACAACCATGAAGTCAATGATACCTTCCCAACAGTATTACTATTTCCGATTTGTATGGTAATGTTGAATCACCATCCTAATAAAACATTGGAATACAGTGTGATTTATATGTAATAAAGTTGTTGTAAATTGTTATTAGTAACTCTTAGTTGGTTTTCAAATTATCATATGATACAGTTTTCTTTCATAGGTCGACTACTTATCCATAGACTTGCATTTAGTTTACAGTAGAGTGTCTAGATTTTTCATGTATTTTGTTCAGAGATATTTGATAAATGTTTAGATATTGTCCAGTGGATATTTGTTAAAAAGCATCAAAACTGTTCAATTAATGTTAAAAATATGAAACTTGGTGACAAGGTGCTATGCTGATCAATTTAGGATTTGGAGCCACTTCTAGAAATAGATTTTTGACGCCATCATGACGTTATAAATGCAAAATTTATATATGATATTACAAAAAGAAAATTGTTAACTATATCGAGATTGATGCTTGGCATAGCATTGCCTACACATGCGTAAGGTCTATCTCAATAAAATGTGCAAAAAGTGCCAAAATTTTACTGCACAGGCGTCACTTTTTGCTAATCAATTGGGTCCTCAAATCTGCAAAAAATCAAAATTACATTTTTATGTTTCATTATGGTGTTTCATTACAAATCCTTGAGTTCTGTACGCCTTGTTTTCTATCTAATTGGACAAGAACGTTCAAAAGAACTCCAAAATATCAGTTGCCATGGTAACAAAAATGGTAGACGAGCAGGCAAAAATGACGAAAAGCACCCAGTGGCTTCATTAATTTATAATGGCTTTGTTGATGGTATTTACATGGATGACAATTTCCAGCTGTGAATCACCTGAAATAGAGGTTAACGGGTTGAAGCCAGAATCCAGAGCGATGTTTGAAGATTCTGCCTGTAAGACAGTTTATTCTAGATTAAAAGAACTGTCAGCGAATGCATTGCCAATCGATGTTGTCTTTGATGTCTACCTTGAGAGGTCGCTAAAAAATCCAGCCAGAGTTCACAGTGGTCAGGGGTCTCGTTGATGTGTAAAAAGCTTTTTACACTCCCCAAGGATTGGAAGTATTTTCTGCGCCACAGTGACAATAAGACCAAACTCTTCTCATACCTTGTGCAGTTCGTTCATGAGAATCTAAGACCCGAAGGAAAGACAGTCACCGTGACAATCGGAGAGAATGCCTTATGCTGGCCTCTACACATCTCTGATCAATCCATGCAACCACGAGGAGGCTGATACCAGGATTTTTGTACACCTACAAGATGCTCAGCAAGAACAGGGAATGAATCGAGCAATCATGTATACAATTGACACAGGTAATGTAGTTCTTGGGTCGCTGCTGTAGTAAGAGTAAGGGACCTACAGCTGACCATTGCATTTGGATCATGGCAATACTTCAAATACATCAATGTCAACAAGCTAGCTGTACTTTCAGGTGAGCAAAAGGCCCTTGCATTACCCATGTTGCATGCATTCACATACAGTTTCCTATTCTGCATCAAAAACATGGAAAATTGCTCCGAATGTCACACAGTCTTTTCTTTCAGTTGCAAAAATCCCTTGATCATGTCAGTTTCCAATACTTGGGAACAAATGTTCAATCCTGTCCAGTCAATAGCTAGTGCAGAGCAATGTGGGTGGAATTACAATGAAGTTGTACGGTAACCAAGATGGATCGATTTGCCAAAAGTGGTTTATTTGGTTTTCCTTGAAGGTCTTCTGAAGGATTTTTCAAGAATAAACAAACTCGTTTAACTTGCCAACGTGGATGTTGTCCGTTTTGGTACAGATCTACTTGATTTCTACCAATCCTTGCTACAGCGAGTAGTGATCCCAAGCAAGCTTCAAAAGGTCACACAGAAATACCCTTTTTAGTAGCAACTTTAGAAAAGATTTGATGCCTGTAAGCTGCATTCATTTCGGAAAGCCATAAAGGAAGTTCAACAGAGACTTCCAGAAAATGCTACCATATTTCAAGCTTCAACAAGCATCTCTCCTAAAGAGATAACCCAAATTCAAGATTTAACGAAATTGGCGGAACACTTTAAGAATATTTGCCAGATATTGATGCTGTAAACAAGGAACTGCAACAAATTAAATTAATAGATGTTTCTGGAAAATTGAAGGTTTTGGCGCCATTTCAAGCAGTATAAATATGCACCTGGCGAGTCCCGATTTAATAACATGGCTCAACTTGCGCTGAGTCTATACTCATTACCCTACTCAAATGCTGAAGTAGAGCGAATCTTTTCCAGAATGAACCACCTTAAAAGCAAAGTGCGCAACAAGATGGCAAGCCCCATTACAAATGCATTAATCCTTGTGGATGGCAGTATTCTATGGAAATTCATTGCAGAGGGAATTTACAGAGTCAATGCAGACAATTACTTTGTTCTTGATGATAGACTTCTCGAATAGAAACTGCTAAAAACCCTAAAAATATCAAACTTTATTCAGTTAAATTTGTTAATTGTTATGTTATTTGATAAATTTTATCTTTTATCATTAGTGTCATCAGTTTACTTAAGATTAACAGCTATTTTTCGTCTAAAATTGTGCCTTTTTAGAGGGCTGTCATTTGAACAGCGAATTTACAGCTATAGGTTAAGCAGAGCAAGACGTGTTGAAGAGAATGCATTTGGAATATTGACTAACAGGTTTCGAGTTTTTTTATCCCCTTTAATGATTTCCCCGGAAACTGCTGATAAGATGGTGTTGGCAAGTTGCGTCATGCACAATTTTTTAAGAGAAAAGGCTCCATCACGCTACACACCGATTCGAAGTTTTGGCATTGAAGATGTTGATGAGGGAAATATTTGCGATGTAAGCTGGAGAGCAGAACAAGGGAACCTTCAATCAATTATCATTTCGAGTAGCAATAATTATAAGAAGAACAGCAAGTAATTAGAGACGAGATTTCAACTCAAACGAAAAGTACCATGGCAGGATAGATTTATTTATTAATAATTATGTATTGAGTATGTAGTAAAAATTTTGTTTTTTATCGCTGTTGCACCTTGACATTGTAATAATTCGATCACAATGTCAACTGTATCCCAGCATAGGCGTCAAATCTTGATTGGCTGCGGAAGGAATCACCATAGCAGGAATCCCCATCGATTTGAACCAATCAAATTGCGAGAAATGACAAATTTTAGAATTTTGACCACCCCTTCAAAAAAGTCCTGATGCTAGAATTCTTAGGGAAATTTTCTTTAATTTTGCAGAAGTGTCGAGGAGGCTTGTGGGCACATTTCCAGTGTTGGCTTTTTCGCGATCTTGTTTTGAAGAAAAGTTATGGCCATTAAAACATTAACATGATATTTTAAATATACCTCTGTCTATTTATAACAATCATTCAATCTAAAATGATCTTAAAACGCAATCTAAAAATGTTATTCAGCTATCACTGCAAAATAATTACTTAGGAAATATGCCAGTAAACAACAAAATTCAGTTTGGAAATACAATACTTACATATTTAATCGCAAATAATTCCGTAAAAACATTTTATATTTACACCATGTCGGCTTCAACACAACTGATTATTTGACGAATGTCACGTCAGGTGCATATGTTCATGTTCTGGTGGGAAAAATTTACTGGAGGCGCCTTCGTAACAATCATAAAAGAAGTTTGAGGCCCTTCATTTTTCACGTAACGTCGCAAGAGTAGGTTGTTTTACGAACTTCTTTGATAGTTGGTTGTTCTTTTAAGGGGTCGATCTTATATCACATCAACAGGAAAGGGGAGAGCGGAAAATGTAATAAGCTACTTTCCTGACATTGTGGAAGGGTTTTTTATAGGTATAGAAGGTAAAAACTAAAAACCAATGTGTGAATAAAATTGTAAAATCCAAAATGGGAAAATGAGAAAAAAGGAGATAAGGAGTAGTCACTACCAGCTGGTTACAACCTGTCCGTTTGTCCGTTTCTCGTAAGCGCCCCTCGCAATCCTGCGTCCAGGATCACGGTTGCAAAATAAATATATAAGCGATAAGAGTGAAAATTTAATAATCAGTGGATGCCGTACCTTAGATGTAACTGTGCCTCTAGTGTAATATTTATATATTGTTAAAGTTAAAGGCGCATGATGCTTTGAGAAGCGGCTTTGTGTTAATGGCCTAATTTAGAGTGTACTAATTGATCTTTGAGGTTAGGCCTTCTGGTGAGGGCTAGAACCATTCTGGTGTCATTCCATATTTGTTTAAGATAAGCATTGGCTGAGATCAAGTGCCAATGTTTAGTAAGGACGGAGCCTATATTTATAGTTTTGATGTCGAATGGGACAACAAAAAGTAGTACTTGTGGTTTTGGTGGAGGGGGTTCGAAGTTGAGGTAGTGCTGGCCCCCTGTCTGGGTGCCCTGAGGGGTGGTTTCATTGTTGGTGGGGTGTCCTGGGAAGAGGAGCTCGTTTGGGGTGACATTTGTCATTTTACTTAATTCGGTGGTGATATCCTGAGATTCATAACCTCTTATGATTAGATTTTTTCAAAGTGTTTTGAGGTGTTTGTGAAGTTTATTGTTGTCTGTGATCAAACGTCTGAAGCAAAGTGCTTGGCTGTAAATAACACTTTTTTTACACGAAGGTGGGTGGAATGATTTAGCAAACGAATAGGGTGCTTTAGCAAGCTAACAGGCTTCACGAATAGGGTGCTTTCCAGGAGTCCACTGTTATTGTTAAGATAAATTGTGGTGTCAAGGAAATTTATTTTTGCTCTAGATTGTTGTGCTTCAAATTTAATCGTGTTCTGCACATTAATGGTATGAGCAAAGAATTCAGTGAGGGAAACTTCATCGTATTGCCTTATCATGAAAATATCATCGATAAATCGTTTCCAGAGTAGAGGTTTCTTCCCCTCTGGGGCTGTGGAGAGGATGTTTTGTTCAATAACAGACATAAAGTTTTGGGAAAGGGGGTACCAATGGCAGTGCCACGTGTCTGTAAATATGGCTGTCCATTGAAGGAGAAATAATTTCCTTTTAATATAAACTCAAACATTTGTTGTAGTATTTTTGTTTGTTAAACTTTTGATTTTTGTCAAAAGGTAGAATTCTGGGGTGCGGGGTTGGGGGCTTGGTTCAAGGAAATCATAGCATTTCTGTGTGAGAAAATTCCGACCTAGTAGGTGTGCTAAGAACGTTGTGATCTGGGTGGATAGAAGCTGTGTTCCATCATATCCTAGTTTACGGTAGTGGAGGGGGTTGGTTTTTTTAAAGCTAAATAAAATAAAGGCAGTTCGAATTTATTTATAGTATTCCTATAAAAAAGAGTTTATCCAGACTGCGCTTTTTTCCATTTTCTACTTGAAACATTATGTTCTTAAACTTTCGTGGCAAAATTGATTCATGAAATAAGATCGAATGAATTATCAGCCCCTATACTGAACTGACTTTTGCAGCTATTGTTCTTGATTTAGGCAAAAATTGTTCTACTAAAATTTCAAATCAGAAATTTACAATCAGAATATTAAATGTTGCTAGAATGCATATGGAACAGGACAAATGGAGATCATATTTGGGTAGCTGTTACCTTTGGGTGATGGGGGCAGGCATTAAAATAAACAAATCAGACTAACAAGCTTGATAATATGATGTCCTTTTATCCATTGACGTTTTGATCAAACTTTTTGATGAAGATATTGCTCAGAGCAACTTGAAGAAAACATTTGCAAAAGTCATTTAAAAAAAATTATTTTAATCACTGTGATATGCAATATACCCAACGGTGCTTCTTTAACGGCTTTTTATTTATTTCAGCTTTGAAAAGCTGCTTTCAAATTCAACCTGTGCTACAGCTAAAGTCACCAGATTTTTGTATGCCTTATAAAGCTCAAAAATAGGCTGATAACTGTAGGTTGAATTGTTGCAGAAGCTTAAACACACAAGAAAAGCATGAGAAACAAGATTTATAATCATATTCTCGACTTCTTGCTTGACACAATCATAATTATCATCAACATCATAGCCATGATAACGCGAATCTTTACACGCTGTTGATTCATCTACAACGCTGTTCATGCCCCTGTACTCTGTACGCCTCTGGAATTGTTTTTACTAGTCTTGAAAATGAATCTTGGAAATACGGAAGTTGTTTTTCGTAAAACAACCTACTCTTGCGACGTTACGTGAAAAATGAAGGGCCTCAAACTTCTTTTACGATTGTTACGAAGGCGCCTCCAGTAAATTTTTCCCGCCAGAACATGAACATATGCACCTGACGTGACATTCGTCGAATAATCAGTTTTGTAGAAGCCGACATGGTGTAAATATAAAATGTTTTTATGGAATTATTTGCGATTAAATATGTAAGTATTGTATTTCCAAACTGAATTTTGTTGGGTTTAATTTTAAAGTTTATATTATTGATTTAAAACTCGTAAATGCATCCGATAACACTTCTTCGAGTTTCGTGTAGCTGAACATCAAAGTAGGCTGGAAAATGACTTTTTAATAAAGTGAACCCTTACTAGCATATTTCCTAAGGAATTATTTTGCAGTGATGGCTAAATAATATTTTTAGATTGCGTTTTAAGATCATTTTAGTTCGAATGGTTGTTATTAAAAGACAGAGGTATGTTTAAAATATCATTTTAATGGCCATAACTTTTCTTAAAAATGAGATCGCGAAAAAGCCAACACTGGAAATGTGCCCACAGGCCTCCTCGACATTTCTGCAAAATTAAAGCAAATTTCTCCAAGAATCCTAGCATCAGGACTTTTTTGAAGTAGGGGTGGTCAAAATTCTAAAATTTGTCATTTCTCGCAATTTGATTGGTTCAAATCGATGGGTATTCCCGCTTTGGCGATTCCTTTTGCAGCCAATCAAGATTTGACGCCTATGCTACTGTATCCCTAATCAGGTTTCTTATTTCAAATGTTTTTGATTGTGGTACTGATAATTTTGAATAAACGTTGAAGTTAATCTATCAACACAAAGTATACTACAGGACAGAAACGTAACTAGCTACAATAAACTGCAAGATTGTGTGTGACACCCAGCCATCATTTTCTTTGTTAGAATTTACCGATTGCCGTAAAGTTGCTGATCCTAAAAATAGTTGTAGAAATGGAAAAATGTTGATTTTGAAGCAGCAACAGTAAAACATACAATACATAAAAATGAAGATGTTGCTTTGCGTGAAGAGACTGTGTCTTGCAAGAACATCATCGATTAAAAATGAGGCCATTTCGACTCATATGCCTCGTATTTGCCTGTTCTACTTTTTGTTGTGCATTTAGATAGTTCTTTCGAAAAATAGGCTCAAAGAGTTTTGATTTTTTCCTTTACATCACTTTCTAAAAACAGTAATTTGTCAAAATGAAAATTATCAAATAAAGAATTAAAAAAATGGACAAAGAAGAATTAAATAAATGATTTGCCAAATGTTGTACACTCCTGTTTTTCGCATCTCTGTCGCAGTAAAGGAGAGGATATTTGCCACAAACATTTTTCTGGTCTCCATGCATTAATAAATTCTTCAGTGACTTCAGATTGCTGCAATTTGTATGCCATGTTTATGTGCGGTACACAAATTGACAA